TAACACTTCTGAAACCTGTAACCATAGGCACTTCGTATGGTTTAGCTTCTGGTATCTCATCAAGGTATTTTGAATCCCTATATGCAGACACCTGTCTTTCCTGTGAAGTCTACTCAGGCAACTAGCTTAGGATAGATAAAACATCTGAGTTAAATTCCTATAGAATCTGAAATATGTGGTGAACATCTCCTTTGCTAACAACAAAAGATGGTGTCAAACCCTCCCCTCCTCCTAGTAGGTACACATTTATTGAACTGAATGCAACTAAGATCCATTTGCACTATACTTGCATTTCGTTATTATTCTCCTATCATTGTTGTAGTTAACAGTGGAACAGTGTTTATAGTTTTGTTTAGCAATTTTTGTAGCAACACTGAAAACAATCTTTTTGGCAGTGCTACCTTTTCTGCTAAATACCTAAAATGGACCAGACTGAGTGCTGAACTGATTCATAGCAAAGGTAATACTGAGCACATTATTGTTCTATTTCCTTGCAATATTTCAGCCATGGAAACACCACTTCAGCCCATATATTCATCAGAATGTTTTAGTGTACCTTTTACATTTTCATTATTCTCTTTGCTCCATTAATAGAACTATTTGCATGAAAGAAAGAACAAATTGTCTTCTAACTGGTCTATTACAAGGTACATTAATGAATATAGGGAACTTTATTAGTACTTTTATGGTGTACCCGTTCACTTCAGATTGTCATTGGTGTTATTGCTATAATAGGTTGCTTCACAGACATCTGAAAGTGCTATTAGGTACTACAAACAATTCATCACAGCACAAAATTTACACCTGTACTGCTCTCTTTCATTGTAAAATAAGTATTTCCAGAGGAATATTTACCACCAGTCATTTGACGGCAACTGATTGTTAGACATCTTAAATGTATTTGCCAAGCTAAGTGCCTCAAGTTCTGCTAGTCACTGCAAAGTGACATTTTTTTTTTCAAAGAAAAAACAGCAGTAAAATAAGTTTTGAAGGGCAGAATATTAACTTAACATTTTATTACATTAAATAAATGATATCCTGTAAAAAAAAAAAAAAAAAAAAAAAAAAAAAAAAACTTTTCTATAAAGTACTGCATTAAAATTAACACAATATTGAATATTACACCTGAGCATAGTCACTAACATTTTAGATCCTCACAAGGAGGAAGCTTCCAGGGATACCTTTGGGAATTTGGCTTGAACAAACATAGATAAATTAAACCTTACTTTAAAAATGAAGATGATCTTCCAGCATGACTCATACTTGATGGGTTTTCATTTTTTTTTTCAAGGCTGACCATCATCATTGAGTATTGGAAATGAAAAGGCAAATTTAAATTCCATGATAATTGTTCACTTTTGTTATCCACAGATCAGTGAAGGTTATGGACAACCATTGGGTAGGGTGGGTGTAAATATCTTATAAAGGAGAGCAAATATGTTAATTCTACAGCAATTTTTCACACTCTCCCAAAGCAGCATCATGTTTTCTTGTGTTATATGCTACCTACTGGATAGGGTTTCAATCCTTTCATAAATAGTCCAAAATTATGGGAACTTAAATCAAAACTTTAAAGAAGAATAGTTTAAAGAGATTTTTAATATGTATATAACAATGCATTATTCATATATATGACATTTCCATCAATGGTAATGGCACAATGTAACTGTCCTATAATTTAACTTGTATTTTTCATTGTCAAAGTTGATTTTTTTTTTTTAATTAATATGTATCATTAAAATTCTAAATAGTTTGTTCTCCTTTTCATTTCTGGAAGAAATACAGATTCCTCTATTCAAAAGGAAGCTAAAAAGCATTTTGCAAGATTGTGTCTTACTCTTTATCTGGTTTAAGACAAATGATTGCAAGTGGGGCAGGAAGATTTAGTCACCTTGCTCAGTGGGACCTATCAATTACAGTGATGGGACTGTGATAAATATTTATAAATGTGCATGTTACAGATATCTTTGACATGACCTAATTTTACTTCACATTCATAATCAGTCCATTCATAATAATTTATCCTTTTTTTTTTTTTTTTTTTTTTTTTTTTTTTAAGTACTGTTTGTCAAAAAGATTTGAAGAAAACTTAATCTGGTAAAAGGTTTTAAACATCTCAGAAGTACAATGAAGTTGAAGTTAGCATTAATGTTTATATTCATGAAAATCATTATTGTCTGAGCATTTCATACTGTTTTGTTTTTTTTTTGTTTTTTTTTTTCCAAGTTGATAACATAGGCTGACATACCATGATGCATTTTTTATTAAGTGTTTGATTATTCAGTTTGATTTTCTGAAGTCTTTAGTGTCTAATTTACTCAGGAGGGAGGGGATCAGCTTAAACTTTATACAGAAAAATGAGAATTACACATTTTATATAGACCTGTTACAGTATAGCATGATAATACATAGCCAATCTTCAGGACACCATAGTAGTAATCTCAGTTTATACAAGCATCAGTGTGACAAAGCATATTAGATTGTTAAATACCTAAAAAGGAATACAAACTTTGTATAAAATCTTCAAAATCTAAGAAGGAGGAAAGGAGATACACTGTCACCAGATGTATCTCCTATTTTGGTGTTAATTTGGCAACATTTATATTACAAAGACTGTCTCACTGCTGTACATAGTTTTTCATTCCAGAGTTCAGCATTATTCTACTGACATTTTCTAATCTACTAGTACAATTTTACATCAGGTGAAAATTAGCTCGCCTTTTCTGATGTTGATATATCAGAATGTATATATATATATATATAGCCTATATATATAAAAAGTATATATATATATATATATACTTTCCCAACTCTTCAAGGTTTATAAAAAGATCACAGAATCACAGAATGGCCAAAGTTGTAAGGGACCTCTGAAGATTATCTAGTCCAACCCCCCGGCAATAATCTACAATAAACTAGATAATCTAGTTAAAGTGCTATGTCTAATATTTTGCTTTCTATTGCAGTAATATATGGCATGGTAGATTGAATATGAATTACCTGTTGTTTAAAATTAGGACAGACTAATAACTACCACTGAAGAATTTCTATGGAAGTAAAGAGAGAAGTTGTATGCAAAGAAACATTACTATCAAACCTTTTAGTTCTTTGACTAAATCTTGAATACTGTTCAGGAATGGGAATATTCACACTAAAAAGTGCAGAAATATCTCCCACTCTATTTATTTATATTGTTCACAGCCTGGATAAAATACTGCTTACCAAATTTTTCTTTGAGGATGGTAGCACATAGACTGGAGGAGATGCAGCTAATTGTAATGTCATTTATTCTTTATGTTATTCTTTATTTTGATATCCTTTATACTTCTGCTTTGTTAGAGATATTTAAAGTACCAAAATGAAAGGTAAGTTTCAATAAGTATGTGTAAGAACAAAAAACGTAAAACTAAAACTAAAACTCTCTCTCTATATTATAGTAGGAAGGTATTATGGGTTTTTGAACTGGAGTAACTTATGTGGAAACTAGCCAGAAATGGAGGTGAATTACATCAACATGGATTTATCTCTGTATTTAGTTTAAAGTTTTATAATATTGTAACAAATACTTACACAAATTATTTTAAAACTCAGAGCACAGCAACCATGAACAGCAAGATAGAAAGTCTCAAACATTATTTTTTTTCATGTTATTAAGCCTCTGACATTCATAAATCACCAGGAAGGCTGACCAGATATTCTGAAGCCTGTCCAATTTATCATTGCACTGATAGGTTACACTTTCTAAACTTGCTTGTTCATTCTGATCATTATACTAATTTGAAATGGCAAGATAAATGCTTGTATTGATTTCATTAAGACAGTATTTTTTGCCATTCAAAGGACTGTTTAATTTTTTTCCCCCTTGGGTTTAGGCACCAGCTCCAAAAAGCATCTGTGCATAAAGTTTAACATGTGCTTACTTTACCTTAAGTTTAAGCATCTACTGAAAGCATGAAAGCATTTAAATAATGTACTTAAATGCCTTCAGCATGGAAAGCTCCTTATCAGCATTTTTTATAGTGAGCTATTGATTGCAGCCAGCCTTGCTGTCACCCATGGCTCCTGGCTCTCCAGAGCAGCACACTCCCTGCTCCCAGCCATGGTCCAGCCATACCAGGGTAGTGTTTCCACCTTGCCAAGAGGAGACCTACATAACCCATCAAAAATACATTTCATTTAGGTTCTGTGTCTGTCTTTACATTATTGGACTGAATCTAACATGCAGTGATAAAAGTGAAACTGTGTTTTTCAAAACTGAGAAATACTTTGAAAAATTAGATGTTATGTCAATTGAATGAACAGAATTGGTTGCTTCTGCAAAATCCATTGGTTTGCTGAACTTCCCCAAAACACCTGAGCCCCTCCCCCAGGTTTAATGGATGGTAAATGTCTCAAGCTATGCAGTAGAAATAAATGCTTCTCTAAATGTTCTTTGTCCTAACTATACAGCTGTTTAAAGAATCTATGACATTTATAGAGATGCAAAAAATCTAAAGTTAGAAATGAAGCCTCTTGGCAGGCCACCTTCTCAGAAGACATGTCAACCTACAGTGTAAACCCAGCTAAACATTGTCATAAATAGCTGAGGGAAAGGGGAAAGCTTTGCTATTTACCAAGGGGTAAAGCTTATTTAAATAATATTCTTGATTCTTGCTGCTGCCAGTTCTCCTTTCTACAACTATATATATATATTTTTTTTTTTTCACACTATTCCTCTGGGATTCACAGAGCTATCTGCTCTTAATAAAATCCCTCAGAAAATTTTCTTATATGAAGTGACGAAGGAAAGGTTTGCTCCAACAGTTCAATGCTGGATTTGTGCTAGTCCTTGTTTTGATGCACGTTTCTCTCCTATCTTTGCTTTCTCTGATTGAGCTCAAGTCAAAAAAAATCATCACTATATCTTTGCATTAAAGTCACTTCAGTTTTTTTTCAGAGTTGACTATGATATCATGTTATATCAGGGATGCTTTAAAATATTTATTTATAATACAGGAGCACCCAGGACTATAAACCAAAAACTTGATTTCCATTGTGCTAGGCATTATACTGACAAAAAATTAAAGGATAACTTTCCTTTACACAGCTTTCAAGATGATTGAAAAAAATGATTGGAATATCTTTAAACAGTATTTAAGCTTAAGTAGTTCTCTGTTGGCTGATGATTTGTGAATCATTCTGCTTTTCTATGAAATTTCTTAAACTAAAGCTTAATTTTAATAAATTTGACTTGATTGGACTTTAGCTTGTACTTAATTACTTGAATTAGGTCCTACTAAATAGCTCTACAAATATTGATAAATTGTGTAATCTTTCCGTATAAGGAGTATGATCAAGGAAAACACATCAACAAATGAGAGTCAACATTACAATGAAACAAATACTTTTGCTGTCCAGGTATCATTTACTCTTTAAACAGTGGTCCATCTAAAAAACTCAGTATTTGAAAGACTGTCACTTATCAAGTAAAGAGTCCAAATATGTTAATCTCAAAGGATTACAAGCAGTACAAATGGAAACAAACTTTCTAGCTCTTTTCTAAATTAAACAATTAACTCTAATATTCACATCCTCAGAGACATTTCAGTTGAGCTAGCATGTCTAATTTATAATCAATGATTAACAGAAGATGCAACTAATTTGTCTTTGTTATTTGATTTTGCCACAGTCAAATTTACTCAGTAAAATGGATTGAAACAACGTTCTAAAGACTGGTGAGCATTGAATTAGAAATCTGGTATAGGGCTTCTTTGTATGCTAGCACTAAATAGATGTAATACAGGACAGTATCTCTTGCATTAAGTAGTTTTAACAAATTAATTTTGACCCATGAGCCTAATAAAGTCTGTTAAGTAGACCCAGCATCTCTGTTAAGTTGTACGGAGACTGAATATTTAATTATTTTTTTAATTGTCTGATAAATTTGAAATTGAGAAAGTAACAGCCTTGAAATTCTTAAAATATATTTTCAACCCTGTGTGTCATTAAGCATTACTCTAGTGATTTTATTGCATTCAAGAGGTTACAAAGTCAAGCCCAGACACCCCTGATTGAATGAAAATTGCACATTAGTTCAAGAAAAATAGTTTTCCAGAGGTTAAAGTACCAGTCCAAGGAAGCCAAGATACATTTGCAGGCATATTTAGAATGGTGATTAGGCAGTAGAAGAGCTAAAAAAGATAGGCAGCTTTAATAATGAGAAAATACATTGCACTGAAGTACAGCTCTATAGCTAGTTGGAGTCATTCTTATAGTAAAGGAATGTGAGGTTTCAGCTTGTTTGTATATAAAGAATTTTCACTTTCATAGTCATCTTCAGTGCTAAACATGGAGACGTAAATGTTAAAATAAGAGGTAGTAGTGCTGCAAGTATGCTGGTAGCACCAAGCTGGCTGCACTTGCTCTCCCAGCTCTCCCAGTTCCCACTGATGCATGGGCTCTGTGTGCAAGCAACAGTCTACCCTTGGTTATTTTTTGGGTTTAAGAGCCTTTTCGCACACACTTCGTCTGATGTACATCAATAGGTCCACAGAAACATCTCATACCTGCAACACAATGTACTGCCTCCCCCAGCCTTTGCCATCCCCCTATCCCAAAGGAGTCCACTCCTTTGGAGTGGTGAATACCTGTATCTTTGGATCAGTGAATACCTGTACTGCCACAAGGCAAGAAGGTGCAGGGAATGAAGAAATACCAGGGACATAGAGATGCAACTAGACCTCTGGATAGCAGCATTTAAGTATTCAAGAGCATCTCAAATATAAAGGTTTTGAACGATCTAATTTCTCAGCAGTGCCACTGAAGTTAGTAATAAATGAGGCTGATATTTCTTAGAAAGATCCTTCCAGAGAAAAAAAAGAAGTCTTAACAAGAATCATGAATGAACAGAAAAGAGACTTTGCTACTGAGGGAAAGGAAAATGTTCTCTTTCCAGGAAATTGTCTGGTCAAAGACGTAGCTGTGCAGAGACAGATTAACAGGACACCAAAGAGAAGAAATGTAGTGTTATGTTGGGAGATGCACGTGTTCATACTGTGCATCTACATTTGCACGTTTACATGTAGCAGAAAGATAAGTACGACAGTGTTGATAGTAGAAGATTTAATTTAATCCATAGAAATATAAATTAAATGTGCAGTAAAATAGAGTAACTCAAATAATCTTACTGTGGCATGTGCTAATCACACAGAATTACTCAGTTCATCAACTCCAGGTCTTAGTTCTACCTTCAGACCTGTTAGTGCATTGTTTTTATCATGCAGCTTTCTCACTGTTCAGGAGTACATGTACCACAACCCAATATTTTGCTGCGAATGTTTTTCAAAATGGTTTAAACTAAAAACATCTACAGTTTATGGGCATGCAGTGCAACAGGCATCTTAACAAAATCAGTTTCTCTCTTTTTTTTTTTTTTTTTTTAATTTTCTGTAATAATCCAATAATCCAAACAGAACACCAGCCCTAATAACTCCAGCTGAGTCATCTTATCTCTTCAAGTAATTATTTTAACTGAGAAAAAAATAAAAGTATTTCTGAAAGCACTCTCTCCAGAGGATGGTTCCACACTGGACACAGAAGGACAGATACTAATCAGCCGCAGTAAAATAAAAAGAACAAAAAGCAACTACAGTCAGTATGCTGAGAAGTCATTCCTGTTAAAATCAATACTGTGATTAATGCTGAAGCACAGGAGATCAGAATCCATCATGCAATATTTTTTCCTGTCTGTACTGTTATTTTTATTGCTTTAACTTTGCTATGCTGATCTGCTTTGCTTCAGAATAATTGCTGGAAACCAGCTCCAACCCTTTTGTGAGAAACAAAGAGAGAGGATGAGGTTCATGCTTGGCTGAGAAGAGGATGAAAAGGAAAAATGAAGTGAAAGCAAATCTGTGTTGTTTTTCATTTCTCAGATGAACTTTATAGCGTAAAATAAACCTTACAATCTGGCAGATAACTCTTACTGAAACTGCTGCAAAATCTCTCAAAAATTTCTGAGAGAAAATCATCCTCTGTTGCAGATACCATCACTCTGGGGGGACTGGATCTCCACACTGAAGGTGGTCACATAGTTTCTGTCTCTTCTCTTCTTCTTCTCCTTTCTGGATCCACTTTCCATTACAAGAAGAATCATGCCCTTAGTTTCTATCCCCTGGAAAACAAACAATGAAAAGTAACCATGACGCACTGATATATAATTTTAAAAGATAAGATTAGGTTCATATAATTAAAAAGTGTCTATTCAGAAAAAATCAGTCTTACAATATTTGTTGTTGTTGTCTAAAGTCTTTGATTGGTGCAATAAAGAATAACTTTGCTAAATGACAAATGTGGTAGTTGTGTGGAAAAGTTTCAGTATGTGGTAGTCCATTATACAAAAAAGAATAGAATTATATTTGCTTGAATTATTAAAATAAAATAACTAGCCACGTATCTGCAAAGTTTGGCTGGTGACATACCAGTTCTTACTGTGTGGAAACATATCATGACTGAGCACCCGTTGAAATAACAAAAAATATATATTTTTTCTATCCATTAAGTTACAGTTAAGAAAGCAATTATTAATTCCAACAGTCCCTGTCTCCATCTCTATCTAACTAAAGTGCATGAGCATGCCTTGGCTGACAGCACTGTGCTGATGAACACACCAGTGAGTACCAGCAGTTTCAAAAAGTAGAAAAACAAACATTGGAATATCTTAGTTTCATAGTACTAAGTTTAGAAATTGTGTCCCATACAGATAAATGTGTTACTCTCAGAAGAACAACAAAGAGTAAGGACTAACAAGGAATAACACCCAATACCTACAAAAAAGCATGCCAGGATTTCTTCTATTTGAAAACTACACACAGGAAATTCCCTTACTTTCTGTTTGGACTCTCTAGAAACAGATCTATTGCTGAAGAAATAGAAGCAGATCCCAGAGACACAGCAACCTAATGCATTGTGGCCATAATAACATCCCTCAGACAAGAATAGCCCATAACATTATTGGTTTCTAAACAATGAATTTACATTTGCCCTGCAGGGGACATGAACCGAACATGTTTTTAAAATCTTACTGACCTTTTGGTCTCATAATACTAATCTATAAGAACTGTTGCATTCTGAGTGAATATTTCACAATTTTGCAAAGGTTTATTACTTAACCATTATTAATTATCACAATAAATGATTTAACAGTAATTAGAAAGTCATATTGCACAGAAAAGGTGCATATGCTACATTTTATACACCTAGAAGATTTTACTAGACAGCTATATTGGGCTTTCCTTTTCATCATCTTGCACAAGTTTTTACATCAAAGATTTTAGTTTGACGCTTTCTCTTTTTTTCCCCCATTCCATTTTATAATATTATTGATGTATAATTTAATGATAGAAGATTTCGAATGCATTTGTTGATAAATAGACGAGCAGCTTTGTTCTCCATAGGATCATTGCTTTTTATCTTTTCTTCATTGAATTGTCAAGACTGCATACTTAATCACAGCTAGATGTTGGGCTTCATCTTGAATGCCATGAAGTCAGTGAGAGCTTTGCAACTGATTTTTATTGGAGTGGGACTGAACACACTATTGGTAATGTGCAACTTATAAATGCCATTTGCACACATATCAATTTTATTAACTCCCTTAGTATGGAATTTTCAGAATGTAATAGTTTGGCAGGCATTACTTTAGATTTATAGTGCTCCAAGATGACACTATTAAGCCACATTCACACCTCTGAAAATTGCTATAGCAACAGACTAGGACCAGTTCTTCCTCCACACTGGTGAGTGAGAATCATCTCAGCAACTGAAGCCTCTCCTGCTGTGTTTTGGGGGATGTAACTTTTTTTTTTTTTAAAAAAAAGAGTGTCTGTGTGAGATATATACACCAATATACGTGCACGTAAATAAATATAGATGCAGATAGTATGAGCAGATGGCCATCAACTCAAAGGAAAACCAGAGACACTATGGGAAGGTACAGGATGTGTGGGACTAATTTGTAATGGAACTGCTGGGGTGGAGATCTCTTTGGAGATGTAGATGTCTTCTGAATCTTTTGTCCTCTGTAGAGATGGACATCTGGGACAAAGTGTGGAAAGATAGTTTTGAGCACTGCTTAATATTACAGCAATTCTTACAAAAAGAGGGTTTACTTACCTTATGCTGTCTCCAAAGATCTCTGTACAGAGTAGACCTTGCCAGAGCCCTCTTTCTGCCATTGCAGGGCAAATATCCACTTGCCTCATTCCCATGAGGTTCATAAAGGCAAAAGCAGCAACAGTATCAGGCTTCTGAGCACCCTCTAAGTCACTGCCCATTGCACAGAGCATGCAGAAGGGCTGAACAGATGAGGAAAGAAGAATTTGAGCTTTAGTGAAGATGCTCCTGGAGAGGAACCTTGTGCCTCAAACTCTCACTCACCTTCACAGAAGAAGGGAAAGGCCATGTCACTAAACTGATTTCTGCAGAGGAACACATGTGGATTGTCCCTTCATCTGCAAGAAATGTTAATCAAACAAATCAGGAGGAAAGGCAATCCCTTGTTGCTCTTTTCTACACTTTGAGGTTAGCCTTTATCCTGGCTATTAAACTAGCTTAACATTTGAAATCCTGAGAGACAGCTATTTGTTTATAAAGATACTTTTAAGTATATCTTTACATTTCTATTTGTCTGGGGAACAAAATGTGGCTCTGACTCAAAAGGTGTGTCAGGCTATTGTACTTTTGGAAGGTACTGCAGGATTAGTGTATGAGTCCCTTTCCTCAACGCATGCTTGAGCCTGACTCACTACTTTTTTCTTTTTTTTTTTTTTTTTCAGTGGTGATACTCCTGGCTAATGCTGAATCATGCTGGTAATGTTATTTGATAATTTTCTAGTAGAAGAGCTACATGCAGTACTTTCACAAAATTATGAACTAAGACTAATTTTTCTACAAAAAATTAAACTCATTATATACTTGTGAGTTTGAAATGTTCTCTAAAGAGTTACCTAATTCTGAATTAATGCCTTCTAAAGCATTTCTGAACAATTGCTTTTTGATAAGATTATTGAGATATAGGTAGTTAACAGATAATCTTTTGAAAGAAAGAGATTTAAAAGCCAGAGAAGTAATCTTCTCAGTGCCTGGAGATGGAGTGTAACCATCACAAAATCTCTTCAATTTTTGTTCTTTGTAAGACGATAAAAAGAACAAAAGTGAGGATCAAATTAATGCAGTGCAGAGATGCTGGCAGAAAGCAGAATAAGGAGGCTGTGGCTATTTCACAGGTCCAACTTAGGTGGGCAGCAAAACAGTAGGAGCTTCCCTCTTCCACAAGAGTTTGTAGGTGGGCATACATCTGATTGCTTCAAACCAGATGCTTGAACATGGGTGTCCTGCATTCCCTCTGTTTTCCAGCCACTAGGTAACAGACTCTCTCTCCTTCTGCAGTAATATTAATTAGACAACACTCCAGCAGAAGACTCTTGCCATCCTCCAAGACATACTGAGGCAAAAGCTGATGGGGGCATAAATTATACCATCTTAAATCAGCAGTGCTGAGTCTGGCCCAAAGCTTGTATGATTCATTGTGCTTAAAGGTTTTTACTGAAATGTTGAACCATTGCCAGGGCCCCAGTCATCAGCTATGCCACCGCTCTGGCTTGGGGACATTCTCTGGCTGCTCACAGTGTCGTGAGCACAGGATGATACCAGAAGACACTTCTTGAAGAGGAATTCAGACCAAGAAGAAAAAAAGTAAAAAAAATGATTTCAATTAAATAGCTTTATCTTGCTATGAAAGCAAGATAAATGGTATCATCTTTGCTAAATATCATACCTGTATCATACTTGAGATGCAGCTATTTTCTGTACTTCTCCACAGGTTTACATATGCATAATTTGATTTCCCTTCTATGTACTCATCTGCTGATATGTGGTTATGTTTTTAATTAATTAATTTTGAAAAGGTACTTATCCTTTTTTTTTTTTTCTTTTTTCCCAATAAACTGAGATCTTCCTCATAGAGAATGCAGTCACTATGAAATTTATACCTACCGACATCTTCCTTAAAAATACATTGTATATTAATAAAATGGCTTAATTAGTTCTTATTTTTGAAAGATAATCACTAGGGACTTATGGTCCTAGAAAAGTAAAAGGACCCGCATTCAAAGAAGATGGAGGAAAATAAGGTATAGAGAAGTTTAAAGACAGGGTAACAACTTTTGAGGAATGTTTAAAAGTGTCACAGGCAAAAATATGAATCTACCAACATGTTTTTTTCAGTGAAAATTATTTAAATTTTTTGCCATTTGGGGCAATACTCTCCATGCAGTGGTAAATAATACATGTCATCTCCAAGAGCCTTCAGCTTCTGCCAGCTCAGTTCTGCCTACCTGTCTTCAACTCACTTTGAGTTTCTGTGGATCAAGGCGCCGTACGAGGAGTATTAGGTGCTGGCTGCATAATCTATATATAATAATCTGAGAAAATCCTGTCAGTATTTTTTCTTATTTACCATTTTCTTTTCTTCTCAGATAGGTTGCTCAGATATGCTTTCCCAAATTTCCCTACTATTTTAGTTACTCTCTTAAATCTTCTTTCTGTTTCCTGCAGACTGATCTCTGACAAAGCTCTTTCCTCTGACAAAGCCATTACAAGGATTACTAACTGCAAATCACTATTGAAAAGAAGCTAAGATATTTTACACATAAAGCTTGAAGTGTGCCAAACATGATTTATCTTTAAAAAGCTACAAAACATCAGTCTTCAGATAAACACAGAAAACATTCAACAAAAAGTGCAATCATTCATTTAGAGCAAAGGTAAACCATGATGCAAGTTACAGACATCAAATATTTCCAGGCTGTATTGCTAGTGTTATTCTTTTCATATCTAAACTTAAGTTCCAACTCTTTAATGTGTAGTACAGCTTGAAAAATAGTTGTTGTTAACTGCTATTGCCTATACAGACCTAAGCAAAAACATAGTCAAATATAAATGCAACCTTTATTTATATTTTGTTTTTCTTATAATGTATATCAGCTGATATTCTCTGCTAAGAAGCAAATTGACTATTCAAAAAAAAAAAAAAAAAATTAAAAAAAAATCTGGATATATACTATGCTATTTCACTCTAAAGTAAGAACCAGTTTCCTCATTTCTTATAATCTATCTGTAAACTGTGAAGTCTGCCATCAAGTAACTACATATTAGCTGTGGGTGTTGTAACCTGTCAATCATGGAAGAATATTTAAATTAGTAGGTTTCTTTGACAGTGATTTTCTCCTAGATATCAAGTTATTTCCTTCTTTAAAAGAATACAATGACTTCAGACAGCTATGTGAAAAAGCCACATGAAGCTTGTGGAACCTGTAGATTTGCTCCTGTTAAATGCCACATAAAGTATTCTTTATATGAGCTATTTTCATCTTTGCTGATTAAAACTTCATGGCTACAGTTACAGATTTTCTAGACTAGACAATATATGTATATATATTCAAAGCACACTGAAAGCAATTATTTTAAACATGTGGGTTACAATTAAGAACATGGGAAATTCCCTACTGGGAGAGAGCCTTGCTCCATCTAGTCCAGCTGGGAGGCACTTGCCCTGATCTGCAGTCTTTTCCAACATCTGCATTTGTTTGGATTAGGGATACGGATGCCAACACCTTTGGTCCCTTTCTTCAGTGTATTTCTATAGACTTGTTATCCACGGATTTGTCCAGCTCCTTTCTGAACATGCTTGTGTTGCCTGTCTCCACAGCCTTCTGACACAATCAGTTCCACAAGTTCCTCACCACAGTGGAAACAAACAAACAGAAAAACACCAAACTTTGCTGAATGTTTTGAACAGATTTTCTACTGGTTCCAATGAGTTTCAGAACCAAGAGGATTTTGATGTTAAAATGCTCCTTTGGTCTATCCAAGCCAAGACCTCAGAGAGCACAGAACAACACATTTCCCTCTTTTCTTGTGGGTTTGCCAGCTCATGGCTGTGCCTGTAAAGTTCACTGTCCTGTGTTAGCTAGCACACAGGCTCTTCCACTCTTTTCAGCACTACCACATCACAGCCTACCGAATCCACAGATCTTCCCTTTCAGTTAGTCATTCCAGTTCATTTCCCTTCAGTTGTAGGGCAAAAAGTCTCCCAGTTGCACAGTCTGCCCTCACTCCTTGCACAGACATCAATGGCAGCAGCTCAGCCTGAGCGCACAGCAGAGAGCCACGAAGCGATGCGTGGTGCGGATCAGAGGTTGGCACTTTGCCCTCGCTCGGATGTTAGCTGGGAGAACGGGACCCCGTAGTGGGGAAGAACCACAAAAGCAAAGGAAAACACAATTTCTGCAAATAAGCAATTCCCACAAAATTCTGAAGCTATGACATGTCATGACAAAAAGTTTATTTAACTGTTAAAATTAATCTAAGAATGACCATCACAAATGTAGGAAGGAAAGATATTTCAGAAAGACAGTTATCTGATAACACTGATTTAGATTAAATACTCTTCCTGTTTGGTTTCTTAATAATACATAGCAGGTCCCATTAACTACTAAACATAAATGTCTGTAAGGATATAAAGAATGAAATGGACTAAAAGAAAAAAAAAAATGATATGATTTGTTTGGCTTGTTTTTGTAAACTAATTCCTTATGTACCTTGCTTAAACTTTATTTATTTATTTATTTGAAGTGGAATTTAGATAGGTGCCACTTGGAGGCACTCTTATACTATTCTCTATTGAAGTTTCTTGTATGCAATTTCATGCAGTGAAACAATCTTATTTCCTCTTCTTCTTTTTCCTTTTTTTTTTTTTTTTTTTTTCCTTTCTAATAATAATCTAGAAATGGGTAATTAACAATGGTTTGAGTAGTTAAACTTTGACATTACATATATTTATTACCCTGTAATTTTGTCCGAGGTAAACAGTCCTCTATACTTCCAATAAAACTGACTTAATATCCTTATGCAACAGATGATAAAATGTGTCTGTAATGCAATTCTGTTCCAAAGATGTGCATAGGAAGAATTGTAAACTGCAAACTTAAACAAATTATTCACTTTAAATCTGGGGGGGGAGGTGTTATCACTCCAGATTTGAAATTAAACACCTAGTTTATAATTATATTCTATATATGTTAAATTATATATAATTATCTTTGAGAAGCAGAGAAAATTATTTCTGTTTTATAGGTACATATAATCTCTCCATTTTGATTGCATGTTAGAGGTGGAACTTTAGAATATGTTTCATTGTATTTGGAGCAATGCATTTTTTACACAGATGCAAAACTCAAATAATTATTCTCAGCCTAAGCAAAGATGAGAATTTGGAAGAATATGTGCACTATAACAGTACTTTTAAATTTTAAATATGAAGTATGTTTTAATTTTCTATAGTTTACTGAAGAAAAAAAAAAAATCAGGTTATATTAAAGCTTGTCCCTCACCTGCAAGGCAACACATTGCACATGTGTGAAATCCTACAAAGGAAAGA